TTTTTTTTTTTTTTTTTGGTTCTCAGTGATGTGAAGAGAAACTCTATCCTGGGCCTCAATTGTTATTGCCATGCTGCTCTGCACAACAGATGATAAGAAAAAAAACCACTGGACTAACAGGAAGCGGGAGTCATTATTCCCGTTATAACCCATTTAGGTTTATAAGCAGCTGAAAAAAATGTCAAAGGGAAAATTAACATGCTTATAGTCCTTCCCCCTGCAAGCCCACACACAACACCATTTTTTCCTTAAAGAGCTAAATCATCCAGTTTGGTTTCCTTGTAAGAGGCATTAAGCTGGGAGACAAGCAGGGGGGAGCATTTCATCCTTTTTCCTGAGGGAATTTTTGTTCTTTCATACTAATATAATGGTGCCCAGCTACAAGAAAAATGAGCAACCGGGAGATGCATTTAATAAATAATGCACATAAACACACAAGGTAGTTTCTGAGCAAAGTAAAGTAGGAACTGGCCTTTTTAGCTCATGACTAATGTTGTGGAATAATAAAACTCCTTCTGAGATGCTGTTGTCTGGCCTGACACACTTTGTTTTTCTCTTTAACAGGGGAAGTGTTCTTGCAGATTAAAGGCCCACTAGAAGACACATATAAAATATATTGCTATCACCACGACGAGGCACACACCATGCTGGAATCCTATGAAAAGGATGAAGAACTGAAGCAGCATTTAAGACACTGTGTACAGTCCTTAAAGTAAGATCTTTTCAAATGATGATTTCCGTCCATAGTCAGCTGCCTGGCAGGGAACATTTTAAATGGATGGAGATGAAAGGTCCCCTGTAAATCCAGAGGTTTATGAGGCTTGCTGGGAGCTCTGGCTTATGCGGCTTTCATGAAAAGATGACAAGCCAGAGGCCATGATTAGATTTCCTTCTCTCGAAGATGGCCAAAAATAGCACAAGGAAGGTTTCTGTTCCCTGAGCTTCAGTGCCCCACACTGGCAGAAAATTGCAGCATCATAAAGTCAGACATGGATAAGATCCTGCCCAGCCCCCACCACACCCTGCCCCTATTTCCAGCAATTCTGTCAAATGGGAATGCGCCATACACTGGAATTAAAATATCATACCACATAACCATTTGTTTTCTCTGACAGCCTATTGGTTTTCCTATATCCTTACAGCTTTTTCAGACCGTGGGGATTTGAACTGACTGCAGTATTGGATAGGCTGCATTGTAGACATTAGAAATCACATGCTGGGGTGGTTTGGATGGCAGTGAATTTGCTCAGTTCCACCTCTTCCATATCCAGTAATTCTGAGATGTCCCATTCATGGTTGGAGAGGAAGGGGGATAACAGCTCCTATCTCTGAAATGAATCCGTGTTAGCTGTTGGGACAGAACACCAGTATCCCAGTCTCCAAATTCCCTTTCCCCAAAACATAGTGCAGGACTGTCAAAACAGAGCATGCCAATAGAAATTTATTTTCTTTGAGTAGGCATTGCTGGAGACATCTGTGGGAGGTACTTCAAAGTCTCTAACTAATGGATTGCCTATTAAGGGAAAAGTTGTACTAAGCGGGTTGATAAGCCTTCGGCCTTACCGCCTGACTTTGCTCCCTTTAAATACAAAACCACAGTCCTTGCACCAAACAGACAAATAAAGCAGTAACTGGAAGTCTTTAACCCTTCTCCAGGCAGTAGGAGGGGCCTTTTAGCCCTGGCCCAATATAATAGCACAGCCCCAGTCTGGTAGTAGACTTACTTGGGTTCTAGTTACCTCCTGCCTGCAAACTACTTATTCACCCAGGTGGCTCCTGCTGCCCTCTCTGGAGTTTTTAAGCTACTAGCAGGATACTCCCTCATTATCTAAATGCCCACAGCTGGGCCTGTTCAACAGGGCTGCCTGCCAGACCACCCTGTTGCAGATGCCCTTACCTGAAAACTGAAAGAAACAGATTTCCAAATAAACTCAGGGTTGAAAGCTAAAGGAAGGTCAGGCGCATCCCTAAGGCCACCTTACTATATTCTTTCCCAGATAATCAGTGGAAGCTGTTACCATCACTCACCTATCTCTATTGCTGAGGCCAGGGAAGGTGGAAGAAAATATGGATGAAAGGTAGAGTCCATGTGTACACAGACATGCAAGATTGCATGTTGGCTCTTGAATCCTAGTTGATATAACCAGCATGGGTGACTGGTGCTGCCTTAGTCAGGAGGGGCATGTGCCCCCTCCAGCAACCCAGGGGCAGGTCCCCCCATGGCCAATCTCGCTAACCAGGGTAGGGGGGTCCCGCATGGCTGGCCGATCAAGAGACGGCCAATCGCTGCGACCACTTCTAGAAGTGGCTGTGGCCACTTCTAGGAACGCAATGGCGCTGCGCTCCCCAGTCTGGGCTGGCGGTGGGAGGCACTGGCGCTCCCACCTGCTCCCCCTGCCCATCACCTAAATGGCAAGTACAGCTGGTCAGGGGGTGCATCAGTGCTCTCAGGGGGTGCACATGCACCCCCACACATCCCCTACATGTAACCACTGATAACCAGTAAGAAAATTCCTGTTCTGTGATATCACAGCTGAAAAATGTAAGCCATTCAAAGCTTTGCTAAATTTTTCATAGCTGCAAGTGACTCTAACTTATGGCACAATGGGTGCACCAACATGGGCTATTAAGGTGAATCAATAAACATTGCTTATTGTGTTGGAGTTTATAACTCCCTGGCGCCATGTTTACACATGCTCCTGGGACTGCAGCAAGTTGATGAAAGCCTGGAGCATAGCACATTCATGAAGGCCCAGGGAAGTCAGTCTGCCAGCCCAGGGCTGCTCCAACCCAGCTCAATATGCTGGGAAGGGCTGGCAGGGGCACGAGGGTGCTCCAGTGCAGGACTAGCTGGCAAGCAGTCCCTGCATCAAAGCATCCTTGTGCTCCAGTCAGCCACATAAACATCTACATGTACTGTGAAATAAAAACTAGGCAGCAGGGTAGTACTTGTAAATGTAAGTACTTACAAGTACTACCCATAGGTAATAAGTTTCCTGCAGCCTAATAGGGCCACATGTGTACATGTGATTATGTTTACTGCAGAGCTAATTAGTCTACTCTGAAGTAAACATCTTGTGTAGATGCACCCAGTGAAGCCTTTCTTCATGCTGTTGTTTTGTGGTTAACCTTTAAACTTTTTTAGGGAAACCAAGAAAATAGTCACTGCATACGTTGCATTGTGTTTGGGGGTTTTAGGGAAACCAAGAAAATAGTCACTGCATACATTGCATTGTGTTTGGGGGTTTTTTTTATCAGTGCATAGAGGTGGCAGGCAGAACATATGTCCACTTCAGCAAGTGCCAGAAATGTTAGTAAAAATGAGCTGAACATACACAACCAAAATGTATAGCCAAGCTCAGCTGACCTGTCGTTACCTTAAAGCACAGGCCCAAAAGGCAAGCAGAGTTCCTCCCATCTAAGATACAGATATCCCACCCTAGGATATAATGCATCAGGGTGCCCACAACAGTTATTGTTAAAAAATGTCACTTCTTTAAAAAAACTTGGTTGGCAAAGCCTTACCAAATAAAACAAGACTGAAACTGGGTCCCAGTTACTGAAGGGGCTGTCCATACTTAACTAAGCTTTATGTTAGCCCAGTTCCATATCAGGACTCTTATGTGAGCTGCAAATCTGTGCAAAGCTAATCACATTTCATTACCCTTGACCAGTCTCTCATTCCTCCAGCTGACTGGAAAGGAGTTTCAACATGCCAGAAATTCCAGGGAACATAGAGACAACTGTCTTAGAGACATCAGCCATAGTTAATCCTTTAGAATCTTAGGGCATTTATACACATGCTCCGGGAGTGGTGGTGGGGAGGGATGAATGCTTTAATTAGAGCAACTCCAAGAGCCACTCTAATTAAAGTGCCTGGAGCATCTCATGCATCTTGTGTATCAGTGACTCTGCGCTGAAAAATGGCAGCAGGGGTGCTTTAATTAAAGTGTTTTTGACAAGCTTCTGATAAAGTGCGTCCACTGCCATTTTTAAGCATGGAGCCACTGATATACTTGATGCTCTGGGCACTTAGGGCCACTCTAATTAAAGCACACCCCCAACTCCCAGAGCACATGTATAAATGACCTAGGATTCAAAAGGATTAACTATTGCTGATGTAATTACAGCACATCAGAGCAGCCTCACCGCTCATATATAGGCGCCCCTATATTCCAACAATGGCTATACTTGTAGGTGATACTGTATATTAGTTTAGCCAAGGGAATTATTTTGGCATAAATTAAATGATGTTGGAAATGATCTGCTTTATTTGTAGACTGAAGATGCTTGGTCACTTAAGGGGCAGATGTATGCACAGTGCTAGCATTACAGAACTGTAGTGGGAGCACCACTGCCCTGATGCTGTTAGCCAAGAGTGGGTGATAGGGCTTGCGGGTGCGCTGGCAGAAAAAAAGTGGATGATAGTGCTGGTGGGGAATTGCCTGGCATTTGACAACAGAGAAGTCAGGTATGGAAGGATGCTAAATTTCTAATTCCAGTGTTCTTGTAAACATATCACATTGTCCAGCAGTCAAATTCCATCTCTAAGTTTAATCATATCTTTATTCAAGTATTCTTTGACAATGTACACATGGGTATGTTTGTTTCCAACCCACCAGCACAGCCTGCTTGCTTCTTGCTGTATGAAGTTCATAAATGAAGTGTAAGTGTTGACAGTGGGGGAGGCACAACTCTGCAATGCCACTGCCACTACCACCACTGCCAACTCAAGTGCTGCCATGCAGCCCCCATGCCCCACTGTCAGGGCAGAAATAGCTCTGCTGCTGCCCCACTGCTGCCAGCCCCTGGCTCCAGCAGGGCTGCAGCCGTTCTGTCATTGCCATAAAAATCTCAGGGGGCACGTGCCCCCTGTTTCCCTCCATGCGTCACCTATGATAAAGTAACAAGTATTTGACTTTGGAAAACCTTAACCTGACATGTAACTTATAAAAAGAATTTTTCAGTGAGTAGACCTCTTAACCAGGGGCGGGCAAAATGTGGCCCGGCCGGCCAATCTATCTGGCCCACAGGGCCCCTAAAAAATTTAGAAGATTAATATTTAACTGCCCCTGGATCCCTGTCATGCAGCCCTCAATGGCTTGCCAAAACTCAGTAAGTGGCCCTCTGCCCGAAATAATTGCCCGTCCCTGTTTTAACTGACCCTGTATTTAAAAAAGACTGAACCGTACCAGTGTTTATTCTTTTTAAAAATGTTACTGGTATTTCTAGTTAAATAGAGGGGATGTATATGCAACCCAACTATTTTCATTTTCTTTTATTGATGAGTTATTTTGTAGTTAGGACTTATCATTAATTACTACTAGCACAGTGTCCTGAACTCACTCATGTAAAACTATATATGCAAAGGTTGGGCCTTATAACCAAAGTCTGGTTCATTAGAGTCCTTTCCCATTAAGAGCTGTCGTTTCCGGAAGATGTAGGGCTTTATTTGCTGGTACCCTCTGGCTGCTTTGTGCAATTTCAGGACACAGAGCAGCCATAAAACTAGCTTAACTGGCCAGTTACAGCTGCATTGCTGCAGTGAAGCGTATCAGTGAACCTGACCATGGTCAGCATAATTTTCCTTATGAAGAAACTAATATTTGTTTTGTTTTCTCTTCTTGCAGAAAAATATACGAGAAACAGTAAGTATCATGCCATTTAGTAGATATTGTTGCTTTTTAGAAATAAAGTACTGTCTCTTTTTATTAAAAGACAACTTATTTTCATATAGAAAAATGCTGAAAGCCATGTTTAGAACCATTCAGAACAAAGGCACTGTTTTAGCAACCCAGTCAATCCTGTGCAGTGACAAGAAATAGATTTCTTCCAGACATGGGCAATAAAGACTTTCAGTCTTAATTTCTCCAAATCTGTTCGGTTTTCTAATGACTATTGTGCCATCTTTGCAGCCTGTTTTTAAACTTCTGGTTTATGAAGCTGGTTAATCTGGTTCCCTGTTCTTTTGGAGCCTGCTATAATCACCTTCCTTCATAAAAGATATGCTCACAAACTCCTGCTGTTCTAATGAGTGCTTCTCAAAAAACAGTGCTGGCCTTTGAAATCCAAGACTAGACCAGGAAAGATTTAAAGACTAGAGATTTTAACTCTAGACACACAGCCCTTCTAGACTGTCTTAAAATAGCACTCATCAGGGCTTTGTGAACCTGCTTGACTCATATCAGATTCTAAGATGAAATTGTTTCCAAGATTATGACTGTTTCTTCTCCCATAAGTAAAGCAATAAAGGAGGGAAGATTTCTAAACTATAGGTTTTAAAGATGCGCAGGGCCATCATTGGTTCTGAAGGTACTCATGAAGAGGGTCGTAAGGAAGATATAAATGAACCAATACATTTAAATTTACAATTCTAGACAACAATATTAACATACAGAAGAAGGATAGTTATAAAGATCGATAAACTCTTGAAGTACCTAAAAGAGTGGGCAAAAACTTGAAAGAGAAGAAATACTAAATTAAAGTGTCATTTAAGAAAACAAACCCCAGACATATGACTGTGTGTGCACTTGGATGTCATATGGTCAGCCCTGCCAGTAAGGTCGGGCAGGATTCCCAAAAATTGATGCTAGCTTCAAAAAGATGAAACTTAAATACATAAACTTTGGGTGGACTGGGCAATTGACTTTTGTATTTTTTATCTTTATAGTGCATATTTTCAAGATTTTTTTCTACAAATAAAAATGTCCTCTTTCTAACTGAAATTCTCACATATGCTCATGACTCCAGGAGCTGGGAGCTAAGGATATGCCTACACTGTATCTTTGGTGCATTCTTGGAGGAACATGACCACACATACTTTGCCTACCTACTTACATGTGTAAAATTCAGAAGTACAGCATTAAAGCTGTTCCTGGGCTGTTTCCCATGCTCCTCTCAAGCACACTGGAGACAGAAGTGAACAGCGGCCCCAGAGTGGTTTCTCCATCACATTTCCAGTTTGGCTTATACAAGTGGGAGCGGGTAGGCAAAACATGGCCAAGCACGTTTCTTGCTAAGAGTGATGGGGACTGGGTATATAGATATACCTTGGGAGAACCCTGAAATATCAGGAGCATATTGATTAAAAACACCTGACATGGCAACATTGTTTGTGTATATATGAACAGCATTAACAACTGCACTGACTTGCACTGCCCTATCTGAAATTAGCACACATTTTTCTCCTTCAAAATACTAGATTGTGAATCTCTACCTGCATTTAAAGGATATGTAAGCAAGGCCATCCCTGGGGGGGGATAAGCGAATCAGGGAGACTGCTCCGGGCCCCACGGATCCAGGTGGAGTGGCCACAGCTCCTTCTGCAGGGCTACTGAGTACTGGTGACTCTGTGCTGCCACCAGCTTTGACTCTGCAGTGCCACCAGCTTTGCATCCAGCTGCTCGCCACCCCCCGCCCCCCCCGCTGCCACCTTTGCTGGCTTCTTTGTGTCTGGGCCCCACACAGGCTGATTTGCCCCAGGCCTTGTGCCCTGTTATGATCATCTCTGATAAGCAGTTACCTCTTATGGGCCCTGCTACATGTTCAAATTAAAGCTGGTTAGAAATATAGAACTGTTTCACATTTTCAAGCACCAGCTTTGTAGCTGGTTGGATCAGTGGTCATTTTCATGGTGTGATAATTACTTTGCACATGTGGCTGATCCAAGTCTATTGCATGATTAACCAGTTAATTGCGTAATAATTATTTTGCCCTTGTGGCTAGTCTTACTTTGCATGTGTGGCTGGTCTAAATTTATTGTGCGATTAATGGGTTAATTGCATAATATTGGTAATGTGTAGCAGGAGCCTCAAGAGTACAAAGGAATGTTGCCCCTTGAATAGTGGAGAGCCCTGGGAATACCTTCTCTTGGGGCATTCTCACTTTTCTTAGATTTGTGCCTAAAACATCCTCGAACCCTTAGCTTGCAGCAAATGGCCACAAAGATGAAAAGATTAAGTCAGTAGGATCTTTTGCCTCTTCATCCTTGACTGCCCTTCATAACTGGTTTAACCTGAATGAAAAAGTACAACGATGTTTATCTAAAAGCATATTTGGTAGTACTGGAACTTTCAGATTACAGAATGCTTAACCTTCTAGTCTAACAAGGAAATGCCTGCTTAATAGACCAAATTGTATCCGTTGGATGGGTTACCCCAGGTACCAAGAAAATAGGGCCAAGTTTTCTGGACACTTTGGCAGGTCTGAGTGAGAACAGAATGTGATTCATAAAGAATCATTTGTCCTATATATATTGTTAAAAGGTGAATCTACACACTAAAAATAATAATGTTAACATAATATTATGACACATATACACAGTAACAGAACTGTCAATTTTAAAGTGACATTGAATCCACAAGGAAACTATCTATGAAATAAAGAATGAGACCCAGACTAAAGATTCAACTGCCTATCTTTTCATGGTTTACCAACTAACTATTTAGACGTAGGGGTTTTTCTGGTGTTTGACTTTATTGCATTGCATCTAGGGTAGAGTGCGTGCAGTGAAACCCGCTACAGTTAAGCCAGCTGTGTTTACTTGACTGCAAAGCTACAGTAATGATTTGCAATGAGATTAGTGCAGCTACTTATGGCACTAAAATACTTACTAAATTCATGATAAGACTGGGTGGCTGAAGTAGCATTACAAATGAATTATCAACTTAATTTTCTGCACAATAGATGTCACAAGTCATTACACATCTGTTTAAGTTGTGTGGCAAGGCCGTGCTCTGATTGGCTACAAAGTATTCTAAAGGGGTATATTAGAAAGAGTACTAATCTATGGAGGGTGGTTATCATCAGATAATCTCACTGGGTAGAATAAGATGAGTTGAACTTTGTGGCATTTTGTGCCCCAGGGAGTCATTATCTCATAACAAACTTCCTATCTTTCAAACCATATTGCTAGACTGTGTCATGCAGATATACGAACAGAGGGCTGTTTATCACTCAGGCAGCTGTCCAAAGAGCAGCCATATAAAGAGAAGACACTTGAAGATTTTTTCCATTCATGAGACAGCTTTTAAAGATTTGCATTCATGGGGCTTTTCAGGGAAAACAATAACAATTTAAGATTTTCTTTATTACTGCTGCCAGACGCCAGAGGAAAGAAAAACATCTCTCTATATATAGGATATGTGGGGAGCGTGGGGGCAGAAGAACAGAAACAATGAGAAGGCTCAAGGACACTCAAAAGCTTTAAAAGGATTTATTGTTAAAACTTCTTTTTGGCATGCTGGACACTTTACAGTTAGTGCCTGCACATGAGAGATGGCTTAAATATGCAGATACCTCTTCTGCAAAGCATCTGAATCATTAATTAGTCAGCAGTAAGAAGTGTTGCAGCAATTTTATAGGAGGATGCAAAGATCTTTCTGCACATTTTGTATGGTGTTTCCTTGTTTTCACACTTCCCCTCTGTTTTCCATTCTCTCATTCTCTTTTCCTGTTCAGACATTCTGGTTCACCTAGCATATAACCTCACACATCTAACCTCAGGAATCATTATTTTTCCTTCCATAAGCTCCTTTTTTAGGATGCAGTAAACATACAGCCTTGTGTTTCTATTATGAAGAGCTGCCTTACTCTTACCATTCTCCTTCACCTTATTAACCATAGCTTGCTCCTTGCTTGCAAATGCAAACCTACAAGATGGACAAGGTATTTCATGGAAATCCTTCCCCAGAAGTTTGTACCTTGGTTGTAGTAAAGTTACCCATTTTGTCCAGGATTTTTTTTCTGAGAACACTCTTATGAGCAGAGGCCCTTCTACCCAAAGACAGGTAAAAAGAAACAAAATAATTCCTTAAACAGACCTTCAAAAAGTGATGGGATCATGGTTTTAGAACATTTGTCACTTGGTGGAGGTAACATGTGGGAAAGGAAAGAGCATGATAGGAGAAAGTCAAGAGATCTGGATAATCTGGATTAGAGGTATAACTAGCATTTTTGGTGCCCTGCGTGGGAGAATGAAAGAGAGTTGGAGGGTGTCAAGCCCCAGGAAGCAGGGAGAGGGATGTCGTTCTGAGCTCCTGATGCCATGGTGTGGACACCCACACATTAGCTGTTGAATAGGGCTTGCCCTGTCCTATTAAGATTGAGGTAAATATCATCATTATGGAAGTCTGCCCAGATTAAATTTTGAATCCCTTTGAAATTCACCTTTTATGAACTGTAGTCCAATCCAAAAAATTACCACCAAAATGTGGTGATTAAGAAGATATCAAATGACTGTGGTCATAATGGCAACCTCAGAGGAGCTATGAAAGGTGGTATAAGGTATACACCAATAAGTGAATACAAGACTCTGCTTTGATGTACCTTTGATATTAAGGCACCAGAATGAGGAGTCTACAAAGTCTGAACTGGTTACAGTTACAGGAAGCCAGACATCCTGTTAAATGCATCTCATCTTTGACTTAAATGGGAATTGCATCTGTGTCACTCAGTATAAAACTGGGCCATAATTTCAGTATTTTCAGTAGTTAAAACCTCAACTGCAAAATGTAAGCAGTATCAGCTTTGTTGACCAGATAGGAATAATACATTATGTTTCTTCAGTACATTGTACCATACAGGAAAAATCTGTTTGTTTAATTATAGAGGAAAACCAAATTTGATGGACATGGGATCCCTGATGATCAAACCTATACAGCGTGTGATGAAATATCCCTTGTTACTCTGTGAGCTCTTGAATTCAACTCCTGCTTCCCACCCAGATCACAAGGCACTGCAAGGTGCCCTTGCTGCTGTGAAAGACATTAACGTGAACATCAATGAACTAAAAAGGAGGAAAGATTTAGGTAGGAAAGAATGTACATTACTCTCCTCAATAAGTGGGTTCATAGACTGGCTTGTTATGGGTGGGGGGTTCAACTCATCTGATGTTATCAAAGATGCCGTTTTCTGGCTCTAGTTGAGCTATAAAACAGACTGGGTTATGAGAAGGTGTAACTGATATAAGAACTGCATTGTGGTTTCAAGTTTAAAACCAAACACCGAGACAAGATCACAAAGTTTTCATTTCCAAAAGTGTAAAAATGATTGTAGCTTGTTAACATAGCAGCATTAGTGATGCAATTCTAAATATTACTAATAATTAGCACATAATAATAAAGCTATTTCTTACAGACCCGCCATGTCGAAGTCTTAACTTTCCTACCTTTTTCCTATGTTAACAATGATACTAATGAAGTGTTCATCATCTCAGTCATTTTCATACCATATTACAGAAAGTGACATCATCAAAGTATATGGTTACAGATGGCTTCATATTAGAAAACAGGATGTGTAAGAGCCTGGTAAATACAGATTATTAGTGCTGTGAAATTTTCTATCTGCAGTGCTGAAGTATAAGAAGAATGATGAAGATGAATCTCTTAAAGAGAAGTTTTCAAGGCTGAATATTCACTCCATCAGCAAGAAATCCAAAAGGGTTACTAGCCATCTGAAACTTTTGACAAGAGGAGAACGTCAGGTGTGTAGTCATATCTGTTTGAAAGCTTGTATTGATAGTTCAATTCTGCTTTTCTACTGAATTTTTAATGACAATGTTTTGAAAATAGGTATCATGATATTACTTGTTTGGAATTTTTTAGTATCCTTTCCTGTGTTCCACAGCAGAGAGAAAGAGGACTTTATGGCTAGGGACAGACATTATACATAAACTGGTTTAAGTGATCAGAAACTAGTTTAAGCCTGTGATAGAACAGATGCTCAGTGCACATAAACCAGTTTGAAAATGGCTGAAACTGGTTTGAGATAAACCTGGTTGAATGTAGTGTCAGATTTAACTGATTTGGGTCAAACCAGTTTATGTAATGTCTGTCCCAGATTCCTTCCTGGTTTAAGTTAAATCAGAGTCCCCTGGCATCCTGGCATGCTCTCTGGGTTGGGCGGGGCTCTCTGCTGGCTCGTCCCTTCTGCTCCCTGGCTGCAACTCTGGTAGATATTGCATGTACAGGGCATCTGTCTGGCTTCCTCCTGCTCCCTCCCTCCCCCTCACCACTCTGCCGAAGCATGGATTCCCCTCTCCCCTCTGCCTTATACAGACACCTCTCAGCATTAGCTAGCATACCACATTCTGGCTAAAGTCCATACTGTGGCAGACAGGACAAAGGCAGACAGCACAGTGTCGGCTTAGGGCTTTTAGGAGCTAATCAACAGGTAGCTGGTAATGTCCTTCCATTCCTTCCTTGGAAAAAGTTTTTAGAAGAGCTTGAACTAATGAGAGAAGCTTTTGTGTTTCTTAATGGGCTGATAAACACTGAGCTAGGGGTGATACGCTATGTTATCAACTCCCTGCTGGGCTGCTGGAGGAAGGGATACCCCTCACTAATCAAAGCGTCCTTCTGGGGCCTGACCACAAACCCCTTCAGCTCAGCACTATGGAAGGGAAGGGAGGGCTGCTCTACTACCCCCCAGCTTCTAGCCTGAGCCACTGCGGGTATGTGCCTGCATTTCTGGAATGAAAAGGGAATGTCTATCCACCTCCAAATCAGTTCAAGTTTGCAGGTTAGACTATGTAACCCCAGTGTAACTATGGGTAAGTGAGCAGGGCACCAGCAACATGTGCTGACTTAGAAGGGGTGCTGAAATGGCAGCGCCCTGGGAAGTCTTTTCCACTGCAACAACAGCTGGGTTTAGGGATACTGCATCATTATAGCAGCTGCTGTAGAAAGTGACATGGCAGCAGTGGCCTGAGTCTTTGAGCCCCCTGGGCAGGTAATACTGGCCACCCTGACCATCTCCAGCACTTGCCCCTCTGCTCCCCAAGTATGCAAATAATTAAACCCCCTACTCTGTTTTATCATTGTTGTAATGATGTGATTGTTTATCAAGATAAAATTTTCAAAAGCAAAGTCAGTTAGGCCCCAAGTTTCACTTTCAAAGAGTCGCAAACATTTAGAAGTCTAAATTTCTCTATGAAAACCAAGGGGAATTAGCCTACTAATTGAGCTAGGTGCTTTTGAAAACTGAACCTCAGAAACTTTTTCTAGCTGCTTATTCCTGGACATTTGCCTTATTAAATGTGACCTGAAGGTTTGTGCCTTTTCTTATTTCTGCCTCCTAATATACATATACAACCCCCACCCCCCATTTTTTGCGGTTTTTTGATAATTACATTAGAAAATTGAGAATCTACTTTTTTTATTTGAAAACTCTGGCATACTGGAAGACCAACAAGATGATGACATCAGAAATAAGCATGTAGTAAAACCTGACTGAGAGGGGAAATTCTTGTTTTATTCATTCTATTAAAACTTCCTGATTTCTGTTCGGTTTTATTCAATTTTTTTAACTTAAAACACGTGAGAATCAGTTTGGAAATAAGATGCTTTTGTTAAAGACTCAGGAGTCTATCCTCTTCAATTAAAGGCAAAGCAAGCTCATGATTCACTTTTTGTAGACCTGCAAAGACTCCTGCAACAAAACTAGTGAAGACCAGCCTTGACATTTTTCATCTTTCTAAGGTACAAAGCAAGTAGAAAAGAAAACCTTTTAAACATCTTTTCAGGGTTTCTTTATATACAAACCACTCCTTTTCTGAGCAGTGTGACTATAATATGTACAAATCCTGGCACTGTGCAGAAACCATAGCACTGCCTGCTCTATGGTTCTGCATCAGTAAAAGCTGCACATTCTCTATATTAATGAGCACTGGAAGAAGCAATGCTGTGATATGAAAAGACAGCTTTTGTTTTCACTATTTCCTTCCAAAATGTAAGTATATATATATAAAAGAATTATTGATAAATGTAGAAGCACCTACACTAAAGTAATGCCAGGCTATCTTGATGCTCTGCTAAAATCAAAATATCAGAATCACTATCATGCATATTTTAGTACCTTGGGATTTATTTGTTTTAAAATCTGATCATGGGAGGTAGCTTTGGAAGAGTTCCTGAAGTACTTTGTTCACATTTTTATGGACCTACATTTTGCTAACCAAACTATTTATTGCTGTCCTAAAAATTGTGGAAATATCTATTTTAGGTGAGAGACCAAACTTTTAATAAGGAGGAAAAACTATTTAGATGTTTAGAAAAAACTGTGAAATTCTGTGTGAAGAATATTTCACTTTCTCTACAACATCTACAAGTGAGTATATCATGACTGCACCCATAAGAATGCATGCACACACACAAAACCACATACACACCCACCTTAATACACGTCTGGCAGTATTATCTAATATCAAATGAAAAAATCCTATAATAGACCCCTGTACAACCTAATGTTACATTCCCACTGCATTTGGGGGGTTAACAGCAAAGAGCCTATGAAACTGGGATTCTATATCACTCTGTTTATTACACAGGAAGTCTCACTAGTGGTTGTGTGGAAAGCAGGGGAGAGAAGAAAGTTGACTTGGGCACAATCATTATGTTGAAGCACATCATGACTCCACAAGGGTCACACCTTGCACTGTAGTTGAGTAGCAGGTGGTTTCAATTAGTCCTCATTACACTGCCCAAACTATTCAGGTTGCAGCTACATGAATTAGAAGGTCCTGAAAAATATACTGAGGTAGATGATGTCTTCCTTTAGCTCCTGTGTGCTTCAATGGATTTTTCTTGAAATAAAGCCTTTTCCATTGGACTTTCAGTATTGCCAACACATGGTTTTTGGCATTGTTCTTAAAGTCTGAGCTTCAAGAATGTGAAAAACTTGGCTCTTTCATATATGATAGATAGATAGATAGATAGATAGATAGATAGATAAAAACTTAGCTTAGAAAGAGCTAAGGTTTTCACATTCCCGAAGTGTAGACTTTAAGAACATACCAAAAATCGTAAGAGTTGGCAACACTGGACTTATTCTTTTGTAATGATTTGACTATGTTCAGGAGCACCTTTATGATCATCACAGGGTTCCAGATAGCTATTGGTTTCTTCACTCTTTCATTCCCAATTTGTTCAGTGAGCTTTCTCTCCCTCTGGCCTGAATTGTCAACTTAGCAGAGGCCACAAGGGCCATTAAAAATAAAGGGCTGTACTAGCTGACTTTGACTGACATATGATATAGGGAAAGGCAGTTTTTAGTCTATAGAAGCTTCACAAAGTTTCAGCCAACTTGGTAAACGTGCCATGACCCTTAAGTTTACCTGACAGCTGTTGCCTGTAGACTGTGTGGATTTTAATTCCTTGGGGCAGCAGTGTTCATGATACCATATTCTGAGGGGATACTACACGAAGGGTGAAATCCTCCTGTGCAGAGGCCCAGCCCCACTTAGGTCTCACTAAAGGATACCACCAAAAAAGTGCATGGATCTTGCACTGGCTGTTTCCACAAAAACTAATTTAATGGTTTTTGACTTAACTCCAATGGTGAGATTTATTAGCATACCAATTGTCTGAGGTGAATGGTGGTAACCCTATTCTTCGAAAAATTTGGAATAAAACAAGGGAAAATATATAATAGAACACAGTCACGTTTTGATTCAGGGTGGAATAGGTGCCAGAGAGAGAAAAAAGCTATGATTCTAGGAATATTGTGGCACTCTGAATTAATAAATACGTTGTATTAAAATTAAAGCAAATGATCAATTTATTTTAATATTTTGACCTTATTCTTTTTTAGGACTCCATGCTTCTAGCTGCACAGAGTATAAGTGAACTTCAAGATATTTTACATGACAAAAGCGACGAAGAAAATGACTATTCAGAAAGGCTGAGTAACACCGGAAACCCTTATAAAAGCTTTGTGAGTTTGTGAAATATGATCATATCATGCAACTATCAGCATGTGTAAACTAAGTGTCATAGACTCAACACTTAAAAAAATAACCCCTTATGAGTCCATTAAACTATGGAGAAATATATTATTTCAATTATTTTTCTGAATTAAATCATGTACAATTGCTAGGTTAACTTAATAACAATGCAGCTGCCCCAAAGGGCTGGAGAATGTTTCCCTTCAACCTAAATTTCTGACGAAAGGCTAAAGTTTCATACTGGCTTTGCCTCTTACAAGCCTGAGCCCAGATAAGAATAAATTTTCTAGAATTGAAACAGGCCTCTGCTGAAACCAGGAGCATTGCAGCTCTCCTGATTTTATCTGGAGTGTTGTAATATTTGATATTTTCTTAAACCCTCAGCTCCTGGAATCATGAAAATATAAGGAACTCAGCTATTTCTTTTAAGGGCAGTTTCTGTCCCTCACAGTTGCAGAGAAAAGACTGAAAATATGAATATGACCCCAATCCCAAAATTGTTTACTTAAATCTCATAACATTTAAGCTGGTTTCAGGTAGGCCTGTGCGAGATGGCAGCGATCCGATCCGGCCGAAGTGGCTCCGAAGTTTCAGAGCCGCCTCAGAGATACGGCCATAGGGTATAATGGGGAATCAATGAAATATCTATAACTTTGTTGTTTTTTGTCTGATTTGGATGAAACATGCAGGGATGGTAGCCTCTGCTAAGAGTATAAAACCTGCCAAGTTTCAAGAATATTGGTGCAGGGGTTTGGGGGGAATTATACCCCAAATTCTTGAAAGCCAAACTCATGTCACGGCTGTGTTACGCCATAGGGGGGTGAAAACTGCAGGGCTGGTAGCTCTTACTGAGGCCACAAAGCCTGCCAGGTTTCAAGGAGATAGGTGCAGGGGGTTGGGGGGAACTGCACCTCAAGCTGCGGACAAGCAAAACTTGTGTCATGGGTGATACTGTGTGTGTTAAGGCACAGCGGGGTGACAGCTGCAGGGAAGGTGGCCCCTGCTGAGGCCACATCCGCCATGCCTGCCAGCTGTGGAGGAGATAGGTGCAGGGGGGGTTCTGGGGCACTGCACCCCTAGCTGCTGACAGGCAAAACTTGTGCCAAGACTGTGTCTGTCCTGGGGCAGTTGATTGTCTGTATTGATTCTTTCCTCTCCTCAGCCTGGTTTTGTAGGTGCTAATTGATGCTCGTTGAGTCATTATGTAGTAGCTAGGTCCTGTATACTGAGATGGTCCCTGAGTTCCTGGTTCCTGAGTGAATCATGATTGATTGACTGGTATCTGGTAACACAGCAGCATCGCAGCCAGAGCTGCGGTTGTGTCTCTCCTGCCCACCCCAAGACAGCCACAGTCAGTCCCACAGCACCCATGGCACCAGTTCTGCTTGTCCGCAGCTTGAGGGGCAGTTCCCCCCAAATGCCTGCACTGATCTTCTTGAAACTTGGCATGCTTTGTAGCCTCAGTAAGAGCTACCATCCCTTCAGTTTTCACCCTGCTATGTTGTAATGCCTAGATGTGACATGAGTTTTGCTTTCAGGAATTTGGGATGCTGTTCCTCCCAAACCCCTGCACCAATCTTCTTGAAGCTTGGCAGGCTTCATCCTCTCTGCAGAGCCTACCAACCCTGAAAATTTCATCCAAATCAGACACAACAAAGTTACAGATATTTTATTCTTTCCCCATTATACCCTATGGCTGGATCTCCAAGGCAGCTCTGAAGCTCTTCGGAAGCTCCAAACCACTTTGGGAAGCCAAATGAAGCCAGGGCTTTGACCTGGATGTGCCATTTGGACCCAAAGCATCCGAAACTTCTCTGGATCCAAAGCTCTGTCCAAAGCCTCGCACAGCCCTAGTTTCAGGATTTTGAACTTCTAGGTTTCCAGGCTGTACTAGATCTTTTCAAGCTAAACAAACTTCTTCAAAGCTTTGGGAAATTATGCATCTCCCACCCCCTACTAAAATTTAGGCAGTCAGGCCCTTCCATGAAACTCTAACTGGACTGTCTTTAGTAATAGCAAATGCTTTGATTGATCAGTTCACCCCGCCTGATGAAGAGAAGCTAGTGGTTGGAGTTTCACTAATCCATTGCTAAAGGATAAGATATATTCCAACGCAAAACCGTAAGGGTTGGCTCTTCATAGTTCTAATAACTACCATCCTCCATCTTTGGAAATGCTATACTTAAACATAATCTCATAGTTTAAAATATCCTTTAAATAAATAAAGTTCATCCTGCGAATAAAGGGACACAGGCACCATCATTTCTTATCATCAGAATGGTCCAGCGTATCCAATGCATAATGTCTTTCCAGAATAGCTGGTCTTGGATGCTTCAGAAAAGGGGAAAGAAATTCCAGTGCTGGACTAAAGGCTAAGACAGCAAGGTTTAGGTCTTAGCTGTTGCACCTGGGCAGTTACCATGGGCAATAGATCCTCGGGAAATCTTCTCCCTCTTTTACCTCAGGTACCTAGTTCATCTGCCTACTTCATTAGTTAAGTCAAAATCAAGAATAGCCACCTTTTAACATACTGATTTTTACTTAAATCAGATTGTTGGTTTCTATCTGCATAAGCATTTATACTGCTTAATAAGGGCTGTTTTGTTTTAGTCAAAAGGAAAGACTGCCATTTGATTAGGAATGCATGACCCTTCCCTCTATCATGGGATGCACTTTCTCAGCCTCCATGGAGCTTTACAACACTAATCTAGTGGCTGGACAGGGAACTGAGAGACAAGCGCACACACCCTTAGATTCCAGCTCTTTGGATGATCACTTAACTTCCCTCTGCCTGTTTCTTTAGTATAATAATAATAATAATAATAATAATAATAATACCTTGTGCAATAAAAAGATTGTTAATGGGATATGGGTCCTACCAGTCCTGATCAGTTACCATCTATTAGCAGGTGAGAAAGAAGGTGTGAATGAAGTGTTACTTGGACTCTTTGTATTCCTTCCCAGGTGGATCAACTGGACAAGCTGGTTTTGAGCCCTCTGTCAGGTCTACAGACCTTATTTCCAGGGCCACAGAAGCTGATCCAAAAGCGTTATGACAAGTTGCTGGATTACAACAGCTCTCTTCAAAGGTCAGCAGGAGAAGAGCTGGATCTGGCAAAGAAGGAGTATGAAGCTCTCAATGCACAGCTTGTGGAAGAGCTTCAGGTGTTTAACCAGGCAGCCAAGCAGATTGTGGTGAACTGCCTGCATTGCTTCATCACTCTCCTCAGACAAATAATGTGCACAGCTCTACAGTTGTATTCTGCTGTGGTGGTGCTTGTTCCAGTAAGTCATCTAAGGGCCTGTGTATAATTTACCTGGAAATACTTAAAACAAACATCTAGACAATCCAGGCTATGTTCTACTTGAACACAGTCTGATTTTTTTTTCAGACTGTCCTTCCCCCTGAAGCCTTGTCTTCCATGGGCATTTTTTCCCACTAGGGAGGACTCAAGTGCTACTGCATTAGCTTCTCCAAGAGTAGCAGTGAAGGAAACGCTACAGTAAACAGGGAACTATGTAGTTCCTTATATATTAATTCCCACAGATCTGCTCTGAGTGATTTAGAAAACAGAAATGGAAGAACTCTGCTGCTGTTCTTTCTACATGTGCAACCCTGCTGCTGTAACCCTTTCTACACTTGCAACCCTAGTGCTACTAATACTGGTAGAACTGTGCTAGAATTAGTATTGGTGGGAAAATGCTGTCACAAAAATCAGCTGCAGCTGCCTCTGAGTCTGTGAGGAATGACTTTCTGTCCTGGCTACCGTGTAAGCTACAGCAGTGCTTTTGATACTTTTTAGGTGCATTTAGACAGGGAAAACATTTTACCTTTATAGCAAGACCCTTACCTGAGCTGCATGGACATGTATCAGTCAAATAATAATTTCTAGCCACACATAGTGGTAACCTTTGCTTTTTAAAATATGGATCCTCACATCCATCTCAGTGAAATGACCAAGTTGGGGTGGGTATGAAATGATGACAGTGTTTTTCGAAGAAAAGATGAGTTACTTGAGTAACAGGGCCCTGACCATGTCCCCATAACTGCAGGCTCCCCCCAGAATACACAAACGCACATGCACACCCCCTACCCCCTACAATGGAGCCATGTTTCAACTACTGTCCTGCTGATCATCCCCTTCTCCATCCCTCCACTGATGGACCTTTGTTTTAATTACCATTATGCTGACTGAGGTCTCAACAAGTTTCCCTATGAAGGACATTCACACTACTCCTTAGGAACTGATATAGGCTATTGATGAGTTTTGCACTGGAGTTCCTTCTTCCAAAAAATGAACAGGCTACTTTCCAGTCTTTGTCAGCCTAAAAATGAGAAATTAAGGGTAGGATTGCATCATAGAGTCTTCCTGGAAAAAAAAACACTTGAAGAAGTTGCAGCAGTCAGCTGGTAAAGTCCTGTATATAGTGTGAAATTCAGTAAGGACACACTAATTTCAGTATACCACTATCTTATTTTAGCTTAGCTTACATAAATTAAGAGAGCAATTTACCCAGGTATTGATGGCACCCTTCTCATCCTTGTTCATTACCTGTGGTATGTTGTAGGGTTTTTTGTAGGTTGTTCTGTGGGGGATGGCATACAAGAAGGACTGAAGTGGACAGTCACATGGACTCTTTGGAGAAATGGTTGCCTATGAGCATATAGGGTTGGATTCAATGGCCTAGAAGGCTACTTCATGTGCAAATTTCTCCTGTAGGCAAGGCCTGTCTCTGGTTTTGGGGAAGTGGTTGTACCAGGCATTGTTTTCCTTGGGGATTTCTCCATAGATTTTTTTTTTTGCTTTTTGCTATTTACATCCCACCTTCATTTAGGCTTAGGCCTGTGCCAAAGCCACAGATCAACATTACAGGCACAAGCTAAACTTAGGAAATTACCTTTAAATTAATACTGGAGTGTCCACACACAAAGTTACATCAATTTAAATATGCCAGTTTTTAGACTGATATACTTAAACCAGTGTCATTTCTATGGCTAGATAGGTCATAATAGCAATTGTTGTAAGCTCCTTGATGCATGTCTTGGTTTATGTCTGTCCAGTGCCTTGCATATTATGGACATGACTGGAAACCATAATAACAATAATTAATAACTCAGATTTCCTGACTCCCAGTACTAGATCCACTTGACCAAAACTGCTGTGCCTTATGTCCTTACCATATGAGATCTAATCTCTCTCTCTCCATTTCTAGCTGTCTTCCTCAAGTATCTCTGGAGTACAGAATCAGGTGATGGAAGAAGTTCAAAAGCTGAATTTTGTAAAAGATAACACCACCACCACCTTCATTGAGAGAAAACTCAGCTTTGAAAAGAAGAAACCTGGCCCTTCTCTGGTGAGTGTCATGCTTCTGTCAGTGGAATGATGGCTTTTGCCAAAGCTTCCTGTCATGGTTCTCATCTGGTCCTGAAGTGGACAGTATGCCAATCTGCCACCAAGCAATCAATCCAAACTTGATCCATTGACTTGGAACTGAAAGAGACTTCCTTCCACCCTGGGAAGAGACTGCAAAACAATGACCAGTGACTTCTTGTGATTTTTCTACTGTCTTTTCATAATCATTGATTTTTTTCATGGTACAATCCTTAGATTTTCACCAAATCTGTCCTGGTCATCCCATAACCATACATCAAGCTATACTTTATTTTATGGCATTCCTTAATCTTCTGATGTTTGGTATGTTTAAGTTTTGTGAGTGTGTGTGATGGCTTTCTATAGCTGGAACAAGAGAATTTAGACATGCCTAACATGCAATCTGATCTATAATGCATAGATAGAACTGTAGGAACACAATAATGATAATGATGATAATAATAGCAACTGAATCATACCTTTACATAGCAAAGTAATTTTATATTCATACAAGAATTTCATGTTAATACAGAGACTGTTGATCTTATGGCTTCTGCCTTATAAAGTGAGTTATTTATATGAACTCACCATTTGTGTACCAGGTTTGAATTATGTTTCAGTCATTGTACATCCAGTTAAAGATTTTATTATTCAGAGACTATAGGGCAGATTTCTAAAGGTGCTTAGTGCCTGCATCACATTAAGTAGACTTCTAAATTCTTCTAAAGATCTAGCTCTTAATTTTCAGCTATTAGTACAACAGATGAAAACATGCAGATCACAAACGTGAGTGCACGGGCTGGGGAATTATGCACCTAAACGCTCATGAGTATGAAATTTCTTTTACATCTGTGCTACAGTCACACTAAGTAAACATCAGCTTCTTTTGTGAATACCTGTTTCTCCATCAATGGCCCCAGAATTACTCCCAATGAACATTAATTAGTTTATTTTCCTTTTCAGCCTGAATCTCCACGCCAAACAGAAAGCCACAGGTCTAAGCTATTATCTACATATGGTGCAGAATCACTTTACCAAGCTAAGCGCAAATGCAATGCCACACAGGAATTTGATATTGATTTATATGAGGGGGAACTGGTGGCTGTTGTGGAGCAAAAGGACCCCTTTGGAAGTACGAGCAGGTGGCTTGTTGACACAGGAAGTAAGTCCGTTGCACAAATACCCCCAAAACAGCTTCCCTTTGGGCTATTGATGTTCTTTTTCATTCTGGCCCATTCGTTTGTGTGTCTCCTATTGACAGCTTATAACACAAAGGATGACTATGAAACATAAGAACTAGCTTGCTTTTGTTGTTTTTTTCCATCTGATATCTAGTTCTTAAAGGGTATGTGTATTCCTCCTTCCTGAAGCTCTACAATCCAGCCAAGGTGCAGAAGGATGTTGCAGAGAACAGTTTCTGTGATGATGATTTTGATAACATCAGCCTTTTTGTTTCTTCACGGCTTCCCAATGACAGCAGCACAAAAAACCCAGGACATAAGAGGAGTGACAGCAGCTCATCTTCTCACAGCCAATCTGAAAAGCCTACCATTAATGGGACAGGGACAGATAGTTTTCGTGATATGGATGATCAACATGTAAGCATTATGCAATATATCTGTCCGTCTGATTCTTCACTTTTTTTCTAATTCCGAATACGAAAGCTGTGGTCTGCTGCTTACAGTTTAAAGGGGTAACTTTTTGGCTTCAAAAGAATTATATTAAACTCCTACATACATGGGAATTCAAACCATATTATTACCTCTTCTATTATTTAGAATAACTGCACCTTCTGTGAAGAAATGATGAACATTTCAGTTAAGCTGTGAAGCACTGCTCTGCTTTAGGGAAACAGTTACACTGTTTTAAAAGGCAGGGAGGGGAATTACAGCTGAATTGGACATAAGGGTTTTATCTAGTATGCAAAGTTAATCCGCAGTAATTTTCCCTGTCCCATCTCGAGGAAAATTTCTGCAGTTAGCTTCACTTGCTGTAGGTTAGGGGCAGGCAGGCAAAACAGTTAAACCAGATCACCTGATGCACGGTTTTAAATGATAAGTCAAACTCTTCTCCCTTTGTCCCCTTCAGACCAGTATATTTTTATCCCCTACAAAGTAGTACAAACTGCACCATTTTCATGGAGGCAAAATGCCTTTAGCTACTCCTGGGAATACAGCCACTTTCCTTACCTTGACAGAGTACAGTGTGTGATCCTGTTCAAGAAGTTAGCTCAACCTTGTGCTGTTTTTAGCTACTCAGGCAAGGTCATGACCAGGCCTATAAGGAATTCCCCAAAGTTACCTATGACATTATTACCTCCAGGTCAGATTGTTGCAATATATGTTCCTCAGCCCTAGGCGTTCCTCACAGAACACCTAAGGCTGAGAATGTAACCACTGCTACTTTTAAATACCTGGGACTTGGGAACCGGTTGCCCTCCATGAGGGAGCTTTGGCTCCAGGTACCTTTGAACAACTATGCTTAGCATATGTTAGGTGGTATAAAGGGCTTGCTTTTTTTCTCCTGGGGGATTTCCTTGTGCCCTTTACTTGTAATTGCCAATTTTGTTTTACCTGGGTTTTATATTGTGTGTGCCCACGTAGCACATTTTCCACACTGAAATAGGACAGAATATGGGTATATGTATGGATTCCAGTTTTCTTTATGTTGGTTGTTTCATTTTTCAGACTTTCTATGCTGTGTATGCATTCCAAGCAAGAAGCGATCAGGAACTGAGTCTTCAAGAGTACCAGCGGGTTCGGATACTGCAGTTTTCTGACTTGAGTGGCAATAAGGAATGGTGGTTAGCAGAAGCCAAAGGACAGAAAGGCTATGTACCAGCTAATTATCTTGGCAAGATGACATATGCTTAGGAACCGAAGAGGCAGAACTAGTTTCTCTGAAAAAATTCCTCAGTCTGGATAATAATCTATTTCAGTTTACAGCAAGCAAGGTGAACGTGTAAGTGATGGACATCAGCCATGATAGCTGGAAAGGCATGTAGATGTTCCTGAGAACTTCCATACTCAAAGGGCCATCACCTTGTCAAAACCTGAGGCAGAGAACATTAACAGGAAGCCACTCTGATGAATGTCCTGAAGGACTTGCTATTTTATTACCCATTCATTTGTGTTTTTTATGAAGTGCTGTACTAAGTCAGGATTTAGCGCACAATTACAAATCACCACTAAGCTTATACTTTTGTAGGGCTGCTACCTCCATGGCCTTTAGAAAATAATAGTAGAGCCCATGAGAATTAACCTCGGAAAAGTACAGTTCTATGGGGATGCTACAGTTCATACTGAGCTGGCTCTGCCATCCTATCTTTAGATACTTACACATTTCTCAGAGCTTTTGCTTTGGGACTGAAATATCATGTACCTAACTGTATCCCAAGTGAGGTTTGTAATGAAGATTTACAAAAAGTCAATGGGGCTATTTTTGAATGATCAGAGGTAGAAAAATAGGTTTTTCCTGGTTTAAGAAGTCTGGTTTTTTGTGGTTGGTGACTCAAAAAGACTGTTTTAAAGCTTAAATTGTGGCAGGTACAAACTCCTTAATAGGAAAGGAACTCTATGCTAAAATTGAAAAACCTAAAAGTAGATTAGAAATAGGAATCTTCTGAAAATTACATGCGTAGCCTGTATGATGTGTAACCTTCTATACCAATGTAAATATGCACCAGATTTGAATCTCCATATGTATATTTTTAGCTAGATAACTGTGCACTGGGCATGTCTACATGTACAGTTTAATGCACACTAGCCTATTTTACTGTGCATTAAAGTGTCACATAAAAAACATGCAAATATGCTAATGCACAGTAAAGTAGGCTACTGTGCATTTAAGCATCATTTAAAAAGCATGTGCTTTTGCTACTGTGCATTAGGACAGCCTGATGCACATTTATTTAGTACCTCACATTGGAGTTACTAAATTTAATATGTATTAGGAAAAGTACATTAATGCACGTGTAGACACGCACTGAAATCAAAACTGTTGAAATAAAATGAAGCAGTGCCTTTTTTGAATACCTATTCCTTATCTAACCTCTTGGCAGGAGAGAGGTAGAGGTTATAATACCCTGAGAAGAGCATCAACATGCCAAGATTCATGATACTATGAGGCATCTTCCTCAGGCAGTGCCATCATTCTTATTCCTGGAGCATATAACCATTAGCTTAAACAATGAAAAAAGGAAAAGAATGTATTTATTTTGACGGTGCAATAATTAGATTGTTTAGCTTTTTGCAGAATTTGGGGCCAACATTTGTGTCACTGAAGTACTTTTAAACTATTTTTATCAGTGAAAATAATAAATGCAAAATGGTGAGGAAAGATGAAATTACTAAAGTACAATCCCAACAGGTTCCTACCTACTGTACACTGAAGTCAGTGGAAAGATTCCCACAGTTTACTGTGATCACTGGATCAGACCCATCTAACCAGAAATAAATGATCATGTAACATCATATTAGCACACCATATTATTTATTTAGTAATATTTATTTATTAGTATTACCATAGTGCCTAGCAGACCTAGTCTTTGCATGTGGTTACCTCATGTGCCAGAGAAGACTTTAGAATTCACTGGCATGGACATCCAGAGTCTGACGCTCTAATTCAGTGGTTTTCAAACTATGTTCCATAGAACCCTGGAGTTCAACAATAGGTCATCATGGGTCCATAAAGACATAGGCAACTGGTAAGGGGTGCACAGGGGTGCACATGCCCCCCCTCCGCCCAATGGGGCCAGTGCCCTCCCTGATGGCCCACACCAATGCTGTTGGCAGGGCTGGTGCCCCACCCTGACAGGGCCAACAGCTTTTGTGGGTGCCCCCCCAGATTCAGGAGGCACCAGTTGCTCATGCATAAAGAAATTGGGGGTAATGGCGCAGAAAGCTGGAAGGTGGTGCATCGCCATTGTCAGGCTGGGTTGTGCAGCTCCATGAAGTGATATGAAAGGGTTCCATGACTTCAGAAAGTTTGAAAACCACTGCTCTAACTAGCAACATTGAAACAAACAATGGCCGTGTGGTTATATTACCTTACCTAACTCTACTTATCTCATGCAGTTTCTGTAACAAGTAAAAAACAGAAAAGAACAAAAAAACCAAAAAAACCCCTCAACGGCTATAACCATCCAAATTCTATCTGTTTAGAATAAGGATGGTATTGGAAAAGATACTGCTTTTGGGCAGATTGAAATATCAACTTGGTGCTGTGCAACCTTCTTAACGAGGGGAGGGCAAAACAGCTGATCCAGCCAGCAGCCAGACTTCATTTCCCAGCTGCCCCTGCCTGCTTGGCTGGGACTGGTCTCCATGGAGGCCCCAGCTGCAGCTGCAGGGGAAAGCTCAAGGAGCATTGAGTTGAATATATCTCAATAACACATTGTACTTTTGTTTTTTAATATAAAGAAGTTTTGTTATTGGGATTATCAACATGTCTTACATTTCAATGTGTCTTACAATTTGGGACATATTATGGGATCTTGTGGCTAAAAAGGAAAGTATTTTACAAAGATTGTTTGTACTAGGCTTGTACTCTTACAAGGAAACTGATGAAGTTTTATATGCTAGGTATATATGTATGCACACATGTAGCTAAATTAAATAACTAGGAGCAAGACACTGAAATGCAATCTTGGATGCTTGAATGTTTGGGTGCTCAGCAAGAGCCATCTGAAAGGGCCCTGACTGAGGTAGTGCCAAGTGCACATCCTATGAAAGATCAGGCTGTGTGAAGGTATCTCAAGATGACAGCAGAATCTGGGCTTCATTGTCTTGATTTAACAAGGAATGAAGGATAGGCTTTAATAATAAATCTAAGTAATTGGACACCAATGTCCTATTGAATATTAATAGGATTTTGGAGCTTATTCCTCTCTGTGTTGAAAATGTGCCTTGAATGCTAGTGCCTATAAGATTTTTCTTTTTCTATTTAAGATGCTCTATAGCTTTAATTATACTTTCTTCCTCTAACACAATCACGTTGGAGTCTCAAGAAGTTTCTCTTATAGGTGCTCAGTATTGATTTGTGCGATGGGCTAATTTTTAATCATTTCTAAATTCTTGTTATGTTTCAACCACTGTAATTGGTTGAGGATGTAAAGCAATTGTATTGAAAAGAGAATGTATTTTTATATTTATTTGTCCACTTTCATCTGTATATAAAATATATAAATTTGAGTGAAGAGTTTTGATGAGATAAAGAAAAACTCTCTGAAGCTAAGTCTTGTCTACAGTAGAGGAATTCACAAAAATCTTTTACTTATACGTGCGTAGGGCCAATCTATGCTTAAAATGCTGAAGACTTAACTAGAGTAGGGCTTCTAAGCACTGGCAGCATTAATGGAATTAAACTTGGCGTTACAAAAATGCATATATTTATTAGCTTTCTCTTGAGTGCAGACAAAGTTCCAGGGTCCCAAAGGCCTGCACCTCTGCCAGTCAGTCAATGGCAAAACTTTGGTTTCAATGGGAGCAGGAGTAGACTGCACTTTAGCAAGCCAGTAGGCACTAATTCTGCAACCCTGGAACGCATGCATGCTACTTGCTTGCAGTCAGTGAAGCACATGCTGCAGTGTTTGCAAATGTAGGCCCCAGGTTATCAGAGTGGGTTTCTTTTGAGATAGGATCATTTTTTAAAGTATTGCTCTGTGCAGTCATTTCAAAACCAAATACATTCAGAAACCAAATGATACAGCTCTGTGGACTATGCACTACTTTCCTTCATTTAGTGGTCATAATCAGGCTTCTACCTGCCTTTTCAAAGCAAGCAGCTTTGGGAATTGTTCTTTCCCAGAATAGGAAGTTTCACTCTGTTAATGTGTCCTTAAAAATCTAAAGTTTTTATATTAGCAAAGCTTAAATAAATAAATACATAGGTGCAGTCCTAGAGCGGAATTACTTGCAGGTTGAGTTGTAGAAATGGAGCCAATAATTGTAGCAGAATAACATGATAATTGGGGTAAATCCAGATTTATGATGGTAAAATCCATTTATAGCAATATTCTTTATACACAACTTAAAAAAACCTCCTTTTAAATTATTGTAATAAAAGTTCTATTTTTGCAAACGTTTGTCCTGTCTTTTTTTCCAAAACCTTTATTTTCCTACGGAAGCATGGAGCCATATTTGATCAGTTATCCAAGACCTATCTTCTAATCTGTTATCAACTATAGGGAGCACAGTGTAATCACAGAAGTAGCAGAGTAGAGGAAATGAAGAGTTGCTTCAAACATATAATATGTTGTGCTTGCAGTAGATATCTATTTTATTTACAAATGCATTAGTAGAGTAGGGACCAACGTTTTTGGCACACATGCCACAAATTAGCCCTGCACCCTCCCTGCATGCCACTCCAATCTCTCTCCTTTACCCTGTTTCTCAGCCTTTTGCTTCCTGCTCTATCTGCCACAATCCTGCCTGTCACCTGCCCCATTTGCCACATGACACCCAGGCTAGGGACAGAAGTTACACATAAATCAGTTTAAGTGATCAGAAACTGGTTTAAACCTGTAACAGAACAGAAGGTTAGTGCATATAAACCAGTTTTAAAATGGCTAAAACTAGTTTAAGATAAACCTGTTTGAATGTAGTATCACACTTAACTGATTGAGGTCAAACAGGTTAATGGGACTTCTGTCCCAAACCCATTCCTGGTTTAAGTTAAATCAGAGTCCCCCAGCATCCTAGAATGCTTTGCAGCTTGGGCCAGGTCCTGCTCCAGAGATCAGGGCTGACCCTGCCCCTCTGCTTTCTAGCTGGAGCAAGGGTGAGGGGCTTGGCCACATGCCAACCGGGCATGGCCCTCTAAGGTGAAGGGGGCAGGGACAGGGTTTCTTCTCTCCTCCCTCCCCTCTTTCCCCCTGGGGACCTCATCCAGGGTCTGCTTGGCAGGGGCATAGCAGCCCTTGTCAGGAATTACACCCCCCACCCCCAGGCTTGTCAGTTTGAGTGGCAGGAGATGTGGCTAACCCCAGCAGCAGCTTGAAGTGAATAGGGAGATGGAGGGGAGTTTAATTCCACCATCCCCCCAGTCCCACCAGTTTGGGCCCCAGCTGGGGTCTGCCAGGCAGGCACGCAGTAGCCCGTCAGGCATTTTGCTCTGCTCACCGCTCAAGTGGCGAGGGGGGGTGGGGGGGACGTGACCAGCCCCAGCAGCAGCCTGAAGCAAAGAAATGTCTGACAGAGGCTGCTGCGCCCTGCCTGGCAAACCCTGGCTGGGGTCTGAGCTGGTGGGACATGGGATGGAGGGGGGAATAAAACCCCTCTCCATCCCCCATTTGCTTCAGGCTGCTGCTGGGGCTGGCCATGCCCTCCACCACTCAAATGACAAACGGGGTGAAATGCCTGATGGGGGCTGCTGTGCCCCTGCCTGGCAGACCCCAGCTAGGGGCCGAGCCAGTAGGACAGAGGAGGGAGGTGGGGAATTAAACTTGCTTGCCCCCCCATTCACTTCAGGCTGCTGCCAGGGCTGGCCATGCTCCTTGCCTGTTGAGTGACGGGGGGGGGAAGTGGAGGGGGCTGCTTTCCCCTTCCCCATCCAGGCACACCCTGACTGGGGACCGTGCAGACTAGGGTGGGGGTTTAAGCCTCTCCCCAATCATACTCAGCCTCCCAGGAGCTACCCATGCCCCCCACCCCCAGCTCATCTTCCCTCCAGCTGAGGGCTCGCTCTAGTGCCCCCTGGCTTCTGGCCTGAGCCACTGAAGGCTTTTGGTTGCATTTCTGGAATCAAAAGAGAATGTCTGTTCACTTGCTGATTCAA